CCTGCTATGCCAGCAAGTCATCAGATCAGGTTGGCTGTTGGCAAACCACCCCTAGGAAGGCAAAAACCAACAAAATAATGGAGGAGCAAATGGGTACAGACACTGGAGACCAGCAGTAATGTAGAATATATATAGAGAGAGGGAGTCCGTGTGATTTCATCTGCAGTTTGTCAATTTTGCCTATTTAAAATGTATAAATAAGATAAATTTTGTTAGTAATGCTAGATAACCATCTGCTGACTGTTCCTGAAGTCGTGCTCTTGCTAAACTGCTACTGTGTGGCCATTTCATTATTTGATTTTATAGAACAGAAAAGATTGAATTAACAGCTGCTCTGAAGGTGATGCAGAGCTGTGTGTTTTCTGTCATCCCCAAATAAGCTGCTGGATATAACATCGGAAAAAGAAATTACATGAAGCTTAGGACTTTTTTAGTACTTCTGTATATTAATGTACATATATGTATAAATATTTACCATAAATGTGAGAAACGGCATACCAGGAATACATTTTACCTTTTGGCAGTATTTTGTGCCTTTGTGTAACAGAGTGAGTGAAGTAGTATCAGGAGAATTGAAGGAGAGTGTTGAGTTTAATGGAATTTTAAAGCTAAAACTAAAACCAAATCCTCCTTAATTAGTAAGCTGTTAACTCTGTTAGGGTTCTGTGATTTGGGACTTTCACAGAAGAATGTTATTAACAAACTACTAACCAAAGCAGGGGAGAGTCTGGAAAAAAGCCTTGAGATGCTGCATGATAAGACACTGTCCCCAGTCTATTGTAATGCTGTTCCTGTACCTTTCAATATTTTCATTAATGATGTGGATGAAACAGTGCACTTACTAAATTTATAGATGCTGTAAAGCAGGCTTAGAGGAGAATACAAGCATTTCAGAAGTAGAATTAGAATTCACTATGATCTTGAAAAATTGAAACAAATGTGGTGGGGTTTTTTTTTTGTTTTTTTTTTTTCTTTTGTAAGGGAATTTAAAGAAGACAGGAAGTCTCAGCAGCGGAACCATCAGACTCACAGAGCGCAGGCTAGAATTTGCAGGGTAGCCATTCTGCAGAAGGGGACTGAGGATCATTAATGTGATACTGTTGTGAGAAATACACACTGAAGTACTGGATATATAAAATACAAGATATCTCAAATAATTTTTCTTACACAGTAGTGATTGGCCCTCAGTTGTTACCTTTGTAAAGCACTTCACAAATACATAGTATTTGCTGCCTGCTCCATACTTGTAGACAGATTAGATTTGGTATGTTAGGTTGTATGACAGCAGTGTAAAAGTGTGGTAACACCCTGCTGCATAGATATATTTTCACTTTCTGCACAGATGAAGCCCAGTCTTTGGTTTAGGCTGTTCAGGTCATTCTCCAACTTGTTTTTTCATACAAGTTATATTTCAGGACAAGTAATCCAGAAGGACCTTGACAGGCTTTAGAAATGGGCCAGTGCAGTCGGCATGAGGTTCAGCAAGTCAAAATGCAAGGTCCTGCACCGAGGTCGGGCCAGTCCCAGGCACAAATACAAACTGGGCACAGAGTGGGTTGAAAGTAGCCCTGAAGAGAAGGATTTGGGGGTGTTGATAGATGAGAAGCTCAACATGAGCCGGCAGTGCGCTCATGCAGCCCAGAAGGCCAAACGCATCCTGGGATGTATCAAGAGAAGCGTAGCCAGCAGGTCAAGAGAGGTGATTCTCCCCCTATACTCTGCTCTTGTGAGACACCACCTCGAATACTGCGTCCAGTTCTGGTGCCCCCACCATAAGAGGGACGTAGATCTGCTGGAGCCTGTTCAGAGGAGGGCCACAAGGATGATCCAGGGGCTGGAGCACCTCTGCTATGAGGACAGGCTGCGGGAGCTGAGACTGTTCAGTCTGGAAAAGAGAAGACTTTGGGGGGGACCTAACAGCTGCCTTCCAATACCTGAAGGGAACCTACAGGAAGGCTGGGGAGGGACTTTTTACAAGAGTGTCCGCTGATAGGACAAGGGGAAATGGGTTTGAGTTGAAGGAGAATACATTTAGATTGGGCCTTAAGAAGAAATTCTTCAGTACGAGGGCGGCAAGACTTTGGAATAAATTGCCCAGAGATGTTGTGGCTGGCCCCTCCCCGGAGGGGTTCAAGGGCACAAAAAAGCCTTGAGTAGCCTGATCTAGTTGAGAGGCGTCCCTGCCCATGACAGGGAGGTTGGATTAGATGATCTCTAAGGTCCCTTCCAACCTAAGACATTCTGTGATTCTAAGTAATGCTTTTTCAATGTCTCCACATTGTGAAAGTGTGTTAAACATGAAATGTCACTGTTTGGTTTTCCACTTTCTGTGCTGGAGGACCATGAAAATGACCAGGGGGCTGGAGCACCTGCCCTGTGAGGACAGGCTGAGAGAGGTTGTTTACTGTGCAGAAGAGAAGGGTCCAGGGAGACCTTATTTGCGCTTTCCAGGATTTAAAAAGGTCCTGTCGAAAAGAAGGGAAGGGATTCCTTATTAGGGAGTGTAGTGATAGGACAAGGGGTAATGGTGGTGAAGCAGAGGAACAGGCTGCCCAGGGAAAAGCTGCGGAAGCCCCCTGCCTGGCAGTGTTCAGGGCCAGGCTGGGTGGGGCCTTGAGCAACCTGGTCTAGTGGGAGATGTCCCTGCCCATAGCGTGGTGGGAGGTGCCCCTGCCCGTGGCAGGGAGGTTGGAATTACGTGATCTTTAAGGTCACTTCCAGCGCAAACGATTCTATGATCTGCTTTATCTGTCTTTGTTTATTCAATTAGTGGGACATATTCTAAGAATCATTTTACCTGAACATGTAATTCATATCTTGTGCAGTAAGATCTAAGGATATAAAGTGATTCATGTTCCAGAAAACTACAAAAAATATAATTATCAGAAAAAATATAATTCTTTATGTTGTGTTGTGCTTTTTAGCATGACACAAGTGTATTGTGTTTCCTAACTTAGAAGAAAAATTAATGGAGTACTTGACAGTGATATTTTCACTTCAAATTGTGAGAAGAGTTTGTTTAGGTTTAATGTTAATTTGTTTTGTTTTGGTGAATTTTCTTGTGAGGAAAATTCACAGCTTATACATAGTTTAAAAGGAAACTTAATACTAATTGTTTAATGAAACCTGTGTAACTGCCTAGGTACAAAGTGCTTTCAAAACCAGAAATGAAGTGAAATACAATTTTTATATTTGCATCCTTTTAAATGCCTGCTATAGCTTTTCTAATACAGCTGTGCAGGTTAGAGTAAGAAAGGAAAAAACATTGCAGCATTTCAGAAGGCACCATAAGCTCTGGAATGGAACTTTACAGTAATGGCACCACTGTGACTTGCAGACTTCAACTGGGTAGACATGGATGTGATTAAGACTGCAAGAAATATCGTTGTTGTGGTGTCTCGGCGTGGCAGGTGGTGGTTCAATAAAGACAAAAAGCTGGCAGTCACAGCTGCGCAGTCCAGCTTTCGCAGAGAGATCCAAGCATTGGTAACCATTGCCTAGCGTCGAGGGAAGCTCCTCTGGAGAGACACACTTGGGTGCAGCCGTTTCCTAGACGTGCGTTGGGTTAGCCACCTGAAATGTGGCCCCCTGAAATGTAGGGGGGCTTTTCTAATCACATTCGTAATGTCCTAAATAAACTATCCCTTTTGTTTTTGCCAGATTTTTCAAAAATACCGGCATAGAAGATTTAAAAATATTTTGATTATATAACTGCATTTCATCTCTGACCAGCTTAGTGAAATCTCTCTTCCCCAAGTCCTACATTTTGTGGTGTAGTAGCAAACTGGTCTGGCATTCCATTCTGAACCTCTTTTCCAAAGGAGAGTCACAGTAATAGGATTTATTATTTTCATTATATTAGTGCAACTGTGCTAAAGTAGTTGCATGCTATGATGTATTGAGTGATTTGGGATCTTAATCCAACAATACTCTCCTTCTGAGTAGAGATGCTTGAATATTTTCCAACAGATTTTGCGAGGGGGAGCAAAAATACTGTTGTAATCAAAATTTTTTTGTATAGTTCTACTCATTCGATAAGACCTTAGTTAGGAAGCTTCTCAGATGATGGATGGGATTTTTGCTTAGAAAGAGAGAATTACCCCAGCAGAAGTAGCAAAGAGCTTAGCAGTAAGGGTGCTCCCCGTGAGGGGGGAGAGCTGGGACCAGTGCTGCTGCTGGGAGAGGTCCCAGTTCCCCAGGATGTTTGTTGGCTGGTTTGTCTCTCTATCTTCTGACTCTTATGGGTGTAGACTTAGCCAAAGAACAGGTATAGCTAATAAAAGAACTCATCTGGGCAGGTGGAGAGAGATAATTAGTACCTGGCATATTCCAGGCAAATGCTTTTGGCGCTGGGTTAAAGACTAGTTTAGGAAATCCTGGTACCAATGCTCATAATTTATACAGGGGTTGAAGTGCTCCACCTGTTGGCTGGATAAACAGTGATTTTTCAGAACTTGCTTATTTTGTGGTGGTTTTGTTTGTTTGTTTGTTTTCTCTTCTTAATTTTTCTCTTTTCTAGTTTGGTAGAGAAGATAGCGATTTTCTCTTGTGGCCTTATTTGGTATTTTGTGTGCACTTTACTGAAAAAGCTATGGCAGAAAGATTGCCATGGCAAAGTTTGTTGCAATGACATCCTCTCCTGAAGAAATCAGCAGGTGCTAATCTCATCCACAGAATAATTATATGAGGTTTTACTCTAGAAAAATCATTATTCCTG